AGCTGATGTATGATGAGTGTTCTGGCGCTCTATGGCTGCTGTCACATCATCCAGGTGGGGCTGCACACTGGTGGTGGTGGAGGGGATCCCCATTACCTGTAAAGCGCTTTGAGTGGAGTGTCCAGAAAAGCGCTATAAAGAGTGTAAGCAATTATTATTATTATTATTATTATTATTATTATTATTATTAAAAACAGAAAACAATGAACCTCTTTCTCAGCGTTGGTGATAAAGCCTGTTCTCCTCTCCTCCTGCCCCTCATCAGGTCCAGAACCGTGCCCAGGCTGCAGGCTCTCTGGGCTGGTGATGTCAGCGCCGTGATCCAGCTCACCTGGAGCAGCCCAGTCGTCCTCCTGCAGCACATTCTCAGTTTCAGCACTGCCTGCTACCACCAGCTCACCACAAGCTCAGGAAAAGAGCTTCCTTACATTTCCAGGTAACAGGAATAAGGAGCAGTTTCCCTGTTATCAACATTCACAAATGCATACATAATATCTTGTGTATTATACTCTTGTATGGTGTTTTTTACAACCCACCATTTTGCAACCTAAATTAAAAGCATAACCTCAGTACTAATTAAGGGTAATGCTCTCAAACTATCAGGGCCCTGGTGCTCTTGAAATATGACCTACAGTATTCCATCACTGAGATATTAAATAGGCTTCAGTTAAAAGTATTGTTACAATAATCCCTTTTTAAATCTCTATGTTTAAGTTCCTCCTAGAAATGAAACAATGGTACTGGCACCCAGATGCCCTTATAACTCAATATCTTTTTTTTTTGTTTTTGTAAATCTAGCTTTGTCACTCATGTTCCCTGCACTTAGAGATTCCTGACTTCAGGCCCTGTGCTGGAGGAAGGGGGTGTGTGGGGGCTGTTACCGGCAGACGCAGCCGGTTCTCTCTGTGCCAGTGTCTGAGCTGGCGAAGCTCCTCTTCATGTGCCTGCTCAGCTGCCTGCACAGCCTGCCCTTCCCTTGCCAGCAGCTCTGGAACACACACAGGGCCACACTCAGCGCCCCATTGCCGATGCTGCTATTGAATGAGCAGCACTTTTTAATCCTCACACCTCACATGGACTGTTCTCACAGACCAACCATAAAAGCAAATGGATGGTGTCAAAAAGCAAAATGTAAAAATAATAGAAAAATTTGAGTGGAAGAATTAATGAGACCTGACATTGAGAGATCCTTCTATCATGGCAGCTGAAAAAGACAGAAACCCCAGTTTACAAATTGTGCATGTGGCACTCTTCACTATTGGCTCATCACTAATCAACGTACCTGTAGAAGACCAGAGTCAGATGGCAAAGGTGGCGAGGTGGGGAGTAGACAAATAAGAAGTCAGATGAGTACTAAGGTGCCAAGCAATTTAGAGCCTTGTAGGTGAGCATTAGGATTTTGAAGTCAACTCAAAAACTAACAGGAAACCAGTTCAAGGACTCCAAGACCCATGTACTGTAATGTGCTCACTTGCACACAACCTGGTCAGGATTCTAGCTGCTGAATTCTTAACATATTGGCGTTTGTTCAGTGTAGATTTAGATACCCCAGCGAGTAGGGCATTGCAGTAATTCATTTTAGAAAAGACAAATGTGTTGACCATCTTTTCTGCAAAATGAAATAATGATGCTTTTACAATAGAACATGTAATGGTGAATTCCATGCTGAAAGGAAAAGAAAAGAGACAACGTCTCTGAAGAAGGCTCCACAGCCAAAACAATGTCCCTTTCTTTTCCATTCAGCATGGACTTAACCTTTACCTGTTCCTTTGTAGCCTATGTATGTTTTCGCAGCTACCTACTCAGTGTTTTTACAATATTCTGCACAAGGGTGTGAAAAGTCAAACCAGGGTCAAATACCACCTCTAAATTCTTCAATACAGATTGAAATTCAAGCCCAGTGCCATCCACAGATAGGATTACGGCATTGGCTTCACTGTAACAGGTAACAGGAGGTGCCGAGTAGCAGGAGCTAAGTCTTTTTGCAGTTTAAGTGAAGGAAATTTTGAGTCATCCTGTTTTTTAGATGCAATCAGAGACTGCAGAAACAGCTGCCTTAGTGTCCAGGTTCATACGGGCATAGCCGTTAAAGGACTAATGTGCTGTCAGGCTCAATTCCGAAGCTGATTTCCGGTCAGTATAATACGTCACCATGGAAATTTGACCTGACCCTCACTTCTCTCACGGTACCTCTCTGTAGTTCCTGCGGGCTGCTCTGCTGCAGATTCACCCTCTCATTCAGTTCCTCCGTAGTAGTCTAAAACACAGACACAGAGGACCTTCATACACAAACAGTTGAATCAGGCAAATCATGAGAGACTGCAACCATTTTTAATCTGCCAAAGAGCAGCACCATTGAAAGGACACATCTCAGTACGCATGAAAGCTAGAACATGGTACCTACAAACGTGACGTAAATAGACTGAGAACTGTTGCCTACCAGTGGTTGGTAATCCTTTCTCAGCGCTCCTACAGTCACCTCACTACATGTTCGAATTAACAGGGTTTAGAGCACAGCTGCTATCCACAAAAAATCACAGGAGATAAATGAACTCATGTTTCTTTGACTGTCTCTGTGTTTTAACTGTTTACACCTTCCTCACAACCTCGCACATAACCCGCTGAGAGCAAGCATTCACAGAGAAGCAGAGAAGATACCACCTGAAGAAAAACTGAACAGAACTAAACAGAGCTGTGTGGATTACAAGGATTTATTTAGGTGTACATCCGTGGCATCTGGGACACTTTACAGACTAAAAACAAAAAGACGCAATAAGACAAAAATAAAATCAGGAATCTTACTCTGTTGGGCCCCTGAGCAAGGCCCTTAACCCCAGCTGCTCCAGGTGCGCTGTACAAAGGCTGACCCTGTGCTCTGACCCCAAGCTTCTCCCACTGTCTGTGTGTCTCATGGATAGCTAGCTGGGGTATGTGAAAAGACACATTTCTAATAGATAGATAGATACTTTATTGATCCCGTGAGGGAAATTGCAGGGAAATGCAAGAAATCGTATAGGTTTAAAGTGATGTTATTAAATAAAGATAGTGATAGAACAGCTTGAAAAAGGAGAAAAGGCAGGCTGAATTGAAAGCCTGACTAAACGGATTCTGTATGTCTTGAATCTTGAAGTTTAAATTCCTGTGAGTGGTGGGAAGACAGTTCCAGAGTTGTGGAGTTGTGGAGCAGCTGCAGGTGCACACACTGAGATGCTTGTATATAGAAGAAGAGACATCTAAAAGGAATGCTTCAGCAGATCCTAAAGCTCTGCTTGGTACACAGGGAGTAATGAGAGATGCTGCGTTTGGCAGGGACTTGCTGTGCAGGACTTTCAAGGTTAAAAGTAAAATTGTGAACTGAATGACTTGGGGAAAAAGGGAGCCAGTGAGAGTCACTAGTGGGGTCATGGTAATACAGAGACCGACCTCCACTTCAATAATAAGTCAAAGTTAATAGCATTCATTTGCAGTGGAATACACATCTGCACAAAAAGAAAAGGTGTTTTTGTTGCTGTTCATTATTATTTAAATGAAAGTCTGAATTGAAATTCTGACATTGTTCAACCTTTTTCACAGCTCTTTGTCTTGGCACCATGTTCCATATCTTTGACCTGAAACTTGCTGTTCTCTTTCAGGTCCTGAAGAGGGCAGAGTAGTAGAGAGTAGAGGAGTTTATGGTCATAAAGAAAACCTGCACATATGCATTAAAGCAGAACATACTGCCCTTACACACACCACAAATCCGAAGCCTGGCCGCAGAAACAGCGTAGCTCATCTAATTTCCTCCTAAGAGATTTACTTCTAAACAACGGTTTTGTGACGGATAGATCTTCAAAGGAAGGCAGGCTTTGCGACTTCAGTAATGTTTCGCTAGATGCCACTATTCCTTTCCCACAATGTTGTTTTAAGGGCAGATTTATTCCATCTCATCTTCAATTCGGGCAGTTTTTGGCTTTTCACACATTAACACCTAGGGACAGAGTTCTCTTGATTTAACTTCAAGGCAGCAAACATCACTCCATTACCTTTAGACCCGGCTGACTTTCAGAAACTTTATCTTTTAATTTGAATGACTAGTTTCCACAGGTTTGCTGTGCGTTACTGAACACGCGCCCTTGTTGTTTCTGTGTGCCACGTGACTAATGGATCTGTCTGCTGATGGTACCTTGGCGGCTGGTGTCTGGCTTCTCTCCCTCAACGCGCCCTCTAGCTCTGCGATGCGATCGGCGTGTCTCCTCACGTCCGCCTGCAGACGCGTGTTCTCCTCTCCCAGCTGCTGTCGCAGGCTGGCCAGACTGCTCTGCACAGGGGAAAGCCAACGTATTTGCCCGTACAGCTCAATTAGACTTTATGTTAAAAGCTGAGGTGGAGACTGTGGTTTTGTTCAGCGGATGGCATACAAGGCTGTCATTATTTCAGACTGAACTGAATGTGACCATTAAACTCTTACCTTCACCTTCAAACAATTGATTGCATGGTCTATGTAAATCTACAACTACTATATTTGTACATTATACATTACATTATTCATCTGTTTTTTTTGTATTACAAAAGTCAAAATGCGGAGTTTTGTTACATCTTGCATGTTGTATCTGGAACCATTGGATTTCTGTAACTGAAACCTTAAAGCATATTACTTCTCATTGGCGAATTTGTGAATCTGTAATCAGTTTTCTATACAACGTTTCAGTGCCTCTTGAAGAGGTGTACAAAAGAAAAGCACAAGACAGGCTCACTCACACTACCACTGTACCTTGGTGGTGTCCAGCTGGGACTTATAAGACTGACACTCCTGTGACTTTCCCTCATTCTGCCTCTGCAGCTCCTTCACTCTCTGCTCCTTCTTCTTCAGCTCTGAAAGTGAAGAGAATTGTGTAAGTAAGCAAGTCTAACTCCACTGGCCAAGTACAAGGATCAATAACCTGCTGTATGTACTGTACTGATAAGTTGTTTGTGGCAGCTTTAAATATAAAAGAAGGCTTTTTGTTTGCATTTGAGTGGGTGAAAGTAAAACGTGTGAGCAAAAACATTGGCTATTATGCAGTTTTGGTCACCACTGTCCAAAAAGGGCATTACTGCTGTCAAACTTGGTTTAAAGGGATGTCTTACACGGACAGTTAAAAAGAAATGAACACTTAACTTTTGGGCCCTAATACAGTTATTCAGTCGGATGAATGGATGAAGACTGACTGGTCAATGCCCACCTGTCTGAGCCTTTACGAGCCTGTCCGTGAGCTTGAGGATGTCCACTCTGGCCTTGTCCACTGCTGTCTCCAGCTCCCTGTAAGGCCTGTATAACAAGTAGTTGCTTTTCCATTAGTGGACATTTTTTCTGTGGGCCTTCCCAGTTTCATTAGAGAAAGATTTCCAGCAAGTGCTGGGACAGAGAGCTTATTCAATTGACCTATGATGATATCAGGCACTCCTTGAGACTTCATGAAAATACAATGTTGTGTATGCACTTGTACAAAACAACACCTGTTAACTCATTGATGCTTCTTGGAGATGAACCAAATAATAACCACAATATGTATAGGATTAGCAATGATTTGTGTTCCAAATTAGAAAAAAAGAAATGAAAAGACATTAAAAACAACTGTAGCTGGTCTGGACTCATAACGTGTGGAGTAGGATTTGTTGTCCAATTAGCAACACATGAAAGAGTCAGCTGTGTGAGCTTTTTAGGCTAATCAATGATAACGGCTACTACAGACATGATATACTGTGACTTATCACTTAATGTTTGATAAATAAAAGAAAACTGAAAAAACTACATCTGGCTACAACTGCAAAATATCCAACTGGGTGCAACTAAAGGAAGATATCAGAACAGCCCCATTAAACACATTTATCATGTGTAAGAGAGGGAAAGTAAAACCTTCGACCTTCTGAAAATATGATTGGTGGGATTTCCTTTTTTAGGAGTTTATATCTGTAGAAATAAGAAGTAGTAGAGATAAATTTTAACTTTTCTATTTTTTGTTTTATATTTTGTTCTGTGCACTGATTCCCTTCTTATTCGACCAGCTGTTGCTGCAGGATAGGATTTACTTTATACCTTAAGACCATGTTCTGAAATGCACTGATGAAGCTTGGCATTCTCCACTATGCACAACAAGAAAGCTTCTCCCCTCTGTTGTGTCCTTCATCCTTTACAGAACAATGTTAGAAGGAATTTTGTCTAGAATATCAACTCAATGGCTAATGGAAATCAATTAAAATTGAATAAATAAAAACACATTGAGGAGGATATAGTTAAAATAATATCTGAAATAACTAAACTATAGGACAAATGACAAACTATCATTCAAGTATTTCTTCTAAATAGAGTCATATTCCTTGATATTATCAAAAGGTCCCAACCTCTTGTGCATGCTGGATGAGATCTTGCCATTCACAATACTGATGATCTCTTTGTTGATCTGGGCCAGTCTTAGAGTTGCATTTTCTGCACAGGTCAGGGCTTCTGTCACCTGCCAGAACAAGCATGCTTTTAAGAGGGACATTTATCCATATATTATGTTTCAGTGCGATGCCACATTTGCCAAATGATAGACAGAAGGTTAGACTTTGTGATTGGATGAACAGGTTATCTTTAATTGTACATGTCCAATCTTAAGGCTGAGGAACTCCAGTCCAGAAATAGTGGTAACAAATTCATGGTACTGTGATATAAATCGTAAGGGACATGTTGATGTTGTTGCCTACCTTGAAGGCAACATCATCCAAATCCAGCTGTGGTTCTGGCTCAGTAGAGGGAGACAAGCTCTCTTCTTCTCCAGCTTTAGCATTCTGTATGAAAAACTATGTCAAAACCACCTGGTTAAAGTCAAAAAGGACCTTCACAGAGGTTAAACATGGCTTTGATTTAGATTAGCGATCCTAGCTATCTTGGGGTCTTACCTAGGACAAGACAGTTCTAGTGGAATTGTGCTTGAAATGCAAACGCCCCAGCTAGCCCAGCTGATCACACCCATGCTCACCTCATTGAGCTGGGAGAGGATAAAAGTCCTCTGTAAACACGCCTCTTGGTAGCCTACAATAAAGACTGTCAGCTGCTGCTGGTATTTCTTCTTCATCACTGGATTCCCCACAAGGGCTTCCAATTGGGCCTGAGGAGAGTGGAAGGTCTCATTCTTGGTTAAAGCTACAGCACATCTTTTTCTACACAGTTCTTGACAGTGAAACCATACTTATTGCACTATGCACTTTGTGTAACTGTCCTAACAAGGCTCAAGGGAGAAATTCTGCAGAATTCCATGCAATTCAGTTCATCCACCATACTGGGAGGGACTAAAAAGCTTTTAGAAGGTCTGGAATTGTAAAACTATTCCAGTACCATTTCAAACCCTTTGGCTCTGATTAACATCATAGAACAACTTTCTATGATGACATTTGACACTCCAACCTGGGAAGCACAATGTCCGATGATCAATAGTTATCACAATGTTCTGTCTATAAGGTGCTGCACAATTCTTCATCACTGCACAGATGATCAGGGGTGGTGTGGTGGCTCTGTGGCTAAGGATCTACAACTGTGGCTGGAAGGCTGCTGGTGCATATCCTGTGGCCGGCAGAGGAATCCTACTCTGTTGGGCCTTAACCCCAACTGGTCCAGGGGCGCCGTATAAATGGCTGACCCTGTGCTCTGACCCCAAGCTTCTCTCCCTGTCTGTGTGTTTAACGGAGAGCAAGCTGGGGTATGCAAAAAGAAAAAATCCTAATACAAGAAATTGTATGTGGCCAATAAAGTGATCTGATCTCCTAATTAGAATAGAGAGGCGTTCCTCACAGACCTAGCAAAAACAGTAGTTTTGTGCACCACGTGAAAGATGAAATTATTCCATAGAAGGTGCAAAAACTGAACAACTGACATTTTTTCATTAAGACCTCACACTCTCCAATTGTTAAACAGTCACTGATTTTGTGGTTGGAAAACATGCAAATGATGGAGTATTTCAAGACAAAAAATGCACGGTCTTGGCAAAAAAAGAAGAAATATCTGGAGCTCAATGGCAGTCAACATGGCTCTCACTGAATTACTCCTGTCTGTACTTGCCATGTCCTCCACAAACTCCATGCTGCCCTGCTGGAGTGTCTCCAGAGCCTGGTGATTGTTGTGAAGTTCAAAGTTCTGCACAGTCTGAAAGACAGCACCAATTAGAATAACCCATCTTTAATTTTAGCATAGGATTCACTCACATATGCCTAAAATACACTGACCAGACTCCTTTCTTGTTGATGAATCACATATGATTTGAAACGGACAATTTCCAAGTAAAACGAACACTTAAGCAATAAAACCAACAATTTTCAATGTAGGAACTCAAGGCTAGTCTACCTTCATTCCAATAATTAAAAAATAATAGAGTCCTCTGTTTTACCAGTTATGATTCAAGGTGGTAAAGCACTGTCGACGGTGTGCTTTGCACGTGTGTTCGCCAAGGAGCTATTTGGCTATGAAATGTCTGTGAAAAATATCGTCCAAAGTAGTTCCGGCTTACGTGATCGACCCTCTTCTTAATTTTTGCCAGTTCCTCTCTGGTCTCCTGCGATCGGCGAGCCAGACAACACTGCGTGTGGCCCGCCGGTGTCCGCCCATCCTCGGCGGTGAACGTCTCCTTGACAACCGTACCAGGCTGTTGCAGGCCGGCTGACCGGTCCGTACCCCGGGCGCTCATGGCGAAGACAAATTCCCTTGTCGACCTTGAGCTTGAACAGATCAATCTGCTGAAAAACCCCTTTACACGCAACGCAGACCTTCGTGAAGGTGAGAAAAACCGTACCATTCCTGACACAGTACACAATGTTACTCGTAGGTTAAAAAACGTTATTCTAAGTGTTTTCAGTGAACTTCTCAGTGGCTTGCAACAGTACCGTTCACTAGAAGTATATATCTTACAATAAATAACATATCTAAACAGAGCCTGTTTAAGTATTAAGTGTAAAAAAAGTTCATTTTAAATAAATAAGGTTTTCACTGAAGTGCAATGTAAATACTACTGTAGTGTAGTATAATTTACATTGTAAAGTGTAGTAATGAAAAAATATAATAGTCCTAGAACTTAATAATTCTTCTTTAAACATCTAATAACGTTTATCCAGGACGAGACTTAGACAAGTTATCTTCAGTGAATATTAACGACAATTCAAAACGTTTTACCTGTTACGATTCAGTTCCATTTAAAAGCCTAACATCGCGCACCAGGACCCTGTTACAGTCCGTGTGCTCCACTAAGGCTGTTTAACAGATACGAGTAATTTTATACATCAACTAACAGCCACCCACAGCCCTTATGGTTACTATAAACAGTTGGGTTACTGTATCTAACACATACAAAGTAGCATAAAAGAATTCGACCGAAGCTTGCTTTTACACCAATCAGGTTGTTGACAGTGGATGAAACCAGCAATGTCCCCGCCCGTATGATTGTCAGATATTTATTACACACAACATCCAAGTGGCACATATTTAATGTACAAACACCTTTACATACTAAGAGGCTGAAAAAATACGTAAGATCATTTTTAGAACACTAGCAACTACCATCGTATGTACAATACTCTTTTTTTATTGATTGATAATATTTAACTGGGAACTTGAAGGGGTTTGAAAATGAGAACGGGAGACTTTTTACGGTTGCAGGATTAGCGTTTTGGAAGCCGATACCCTGCATTCCTTCAAGAAAAGTCTGCGTGGGATCTATGGACCCGTGAGCTACTGCCAAACGGGTTAGTTGGGTTACAAACCTATTCATTCAGCCCTTCTTATGACATTATCAATTCAGCCCAGGCTTTATAGTCCCAGCTGGGGAGAATTTCTTTCACAGCAGACTCCCAACATAACCAACACAATGACAGACCAACTTTTACCAACAATGAAGTTAGTGCAACAGTGTTACAGCAGGATAAGAGAAGATAGTTAACTTAATAGGTCTCAAGTTCATGCACTTTCCTTTAGAGAGCCAAAACAACTCCCTAACATACTGTAGCATGTTACGACGAAATAAACCCAGGGATAAATCAACTGGAGAATTAAGTTATTAATGGGACCACGGCTGGGAATCTATCCGGAGGTTTATCTCTGCAAGGAGAGTTTTGCCCAACGGAACGAAAACTTCAGGACCCCTTACGCTGAGCTGAGCTGAGTTGAGTTAGCCAACACGCACTCAGTCAGGACCTTAAAGGGTTCAACCTGTCTTCAGGAACGTAAATTTCCCAGATTTGCCCATCTCTGTCCAATGCAAATTAAACAACGCTTTTCGCGGCCACATCAGCTTTACTAATATACTCTGCTCTCCACTACTCTACTACTACTTTAAAGCGCAGTACCAAACCAACCCCCGCACGCCTCTTCATTGATTAGAGTGACGAGGCAAACAGCCGGCCAATAGTGAGGCGATATTTACCAGACTGACACATTCCTAAATTCTATTGGACAGCAAGCCAGCCAATGGCGAGGAGATGTATGGCAGACTGACACATTCCTAAATCCTATTGGACGAGCAGCCGGCCAATGAAGCAGGACCGACGTGGCACAAGTCAAATCACACACTCAGAGGAGTTCAGCTTTTAGGATGAGTCCGGGATAAATGGCGATGTGTGAATTGAAATACCACCCTCGAATAGACAAGACCGATATGATTGTGCATCCAGCATTTTAATAAGGCATCACTAAAAGCAACCCCATCATTTAAAAACCTTAATATTATACAAATTTGTCATCAGAATATTATTTTCCTGCTTTGTACCTACTGTTTATTCAGGATTGTGCCTGCAAATTGATTAACGTCATCTTTGATGTCTCCCTTTTATGTAAAGCGACTGCTCATGTGTGTAACAGCTTTTCAACAGCATAAACATGTCGGTAACTACAGTTAAGGCAGAATATTCAACTGAACTGAATAGACTTGGGCCTTTTTATGCCAGACTGCTTTGCTCAACGCCGCACCGACTGAAATGTGTTTTGAGTTCGTCGGGGGGCTTTGGCATGGAGTATGGGCCGGGCTAAGCGCTGCCTGGGGGTGTGAACCGGGCCCGTGGCGATTCGCAGTCTCCTCCCCGGATACACCTCTTTTTTTTTCTGGGCCCGTTGCAGCATTTATCCCCGCCACGGCTCCACTTTGTTCCGTTTGATGGTTCGCATCTTGGAGAGGAGGATGAAGCTGCTGTTTGCTGCCGCGATCATTGCCGGCTCGGTGATATTTCTGCTGTTCCCCGGCGGGTCCGTTGCGGACGAGAAGAAGAAAGGCCCGAAAGTCACAGCCAAGGTACTGTCTTACCAATACTGGTCTTATTGGAGCAGACGGAGGGAGTAATTAATAAATCACATAGCATTTACTACGCGGGTTAAATACTACTTTACGTTTTCCCGTTCATTCTAAAGGAGTAATATGGAATTAAAGCAAAGTCTTGCGCATTGCCTTCATATTGTATTATTGCTTAGGCTCCACGTCCTTCATTTTGCTTCAGAAATTCCTTCGCTTCGCTAACCACTCCCCTTTGGCTCGTACATTTTTTTTACTGGGTGATAGAAAAATGCCTAAATCAGAGAAACGAACTAAAACGTGCGCTACACGACCCAATATATCAGGACGAGAAAAATTGAATCGGTGATCGCCTTGCAGGTCCAGTTTAACTGAGCTTCGTCGCGTATTCTTCGATTACACCTCCATCCTGCGCGGATTGAAAAAGGCCTTGAGCTTTTAGGTTTTACGTTAATGCACCGAATTACTGCTTGTACATTTTTTATTTCTATTAAAAACTCTTTTTTTTTAGTGTTACACATAAAATTGAGGACGAGGCCCATCGGTTACTTATTGTGTCCCCGTATGACACTGACAAGCAGAACAAAGAAACGGATAACGTTTTGGCCAGTTGAAAAAAGGGGATTGTATGTTGTAGCTCGGTGCCAACTGTCGCGAAGTGTTCTGCTACAGCGTCTGCTTGGAACACGTCTTCGTTTCCTAGGCATTTTAACTTATAAGAAGTGCTAGTTTTCAGTGGGAAATACTGGAAATAAAGAACATTATCGTTAAAAAAAATGGAAGATCTGAAAGTTACAATGTACAAACATGCATAGGTTTATACTGTAGATACAAATGACCAATACTGGAAATAATTATTGTGGCATTGTCTTCAATAATATTGGGGTCTTAAACGACTCTCTGTGGAGTATAGTTCAAGAGCTAAGTTAATTTTAGGTTTAATTGTTGAACATTGAAATGTAGAAATGAGAAATAATCAATCAGAAATTATTGAAAATACCTCAACATTGTTCTTACTTCTAACCAAACCCTTCACTATTCAAATGAAGGCTCCACGGCTGAAATGTTGTTTTCGTCTCTTTTCAGCAGAGAATAAATCTGTTACTTGTTCCTTTGCAGCCTACGCATGCTATATAATATATTGCTGTAAATAATTTGGGCTGTGCCAAAATAGACATAATACACAACTATATACACCTATAATATACAGAATACTTCCTTTCAGAGAAAAACACTTTTGGTTGCCTAATTTTTCCCATATTTTGTATGCCAAAGTTCCTCTTGAAGGGCTGGCAGGTAAATTTCCTTTGAGTGATTAATGACTGGCTTCTGCTTTTCCAGGTCTATTTTGACATCCGGATCGGAGATGAGGATGTTGGGCGGGTAGTAATCGGACTGTTTGGGAAAACTGTCCCAAAGACGGTTGAGAACTTCATCGCCTTGGCAACCGGAGAGGTGAGCATCCCCAGAGGAAGTCTGTCTGGCTTACTAAATCACAGGTCGTTTTCTAGACTTTTTACTTTCTAAAGAAAGCCATTCAGGAGAAACTGAAACTTTTTTTAAATTTCCTCCTATAGAAAGGTTTTGGGTACAAGAACAGGAAGTTTCACCGTGTGATCAAGGACTTCATGATCCAGGGTGGAGATTTCACCAGAGGCGATGGCACAGGGGGTGAGATGCCTGAATCTCTGAACCACATAAAACCTATCTGTAGGGAGAGACCATATTGCTCCATAAGCCCCAGGACATTGAGCCAGGAGACCATTTTAAGAAGGAAAACAAGATGAATAATGATGCTGCCTGTGTTTCATTACATGTCTTAATGGCAGTGGATGACAAGGTACTCGAATCAAATGGAATAAACAGCTGCTTAGTTTTTCTGATGTTATTGGAAGAGAAACTGAAAGCACTTCTACGTCTAACACTTTAATGTTCATGATTGAGACGAGCACATGAGCTATTTTATACAATCGCATAAGTCAGCCACAACTTCTGTCCACTTGCAAGTTCCTCGCTTCTTTCTAGTTATGTAGCCTTTGCCGTGGATGATGTGCCTGTTTGATTCTCTTTGAAACTCCTGTCAAACCTGTTCTGTCAGGCAAGAGCATCTATGGGGATCGTTTTCCTGATGAGAACTTCAAGCTGAAGCACTACGGACCAGGCTGGCTGAGCATGGCCAATGCTGGAAAAGACACCAACGGCTCCCAGTTCTTCATCACCACAGTCCAGACCCCCTGGCTGGATGGGAAGCACGTGGTCTTTGGGAAAATCCTGGAAGGCATGGTAAGATTCAGCAGCCCTGCAGGAGGAGCTGCTTCCAGTGCCCAAGTCTGGTTTCTGAAACACTATGTCAGAACAATAAGTATAAAGACTGGGGATACTTTTCTTATAGGGAGTGGAAGGGAATTTCAATTTGAGATGGAGTTTTCAAGTCAGACTTGTGCATAACATCTAGATACACGAGGGCAGCATGAAATTGTCTGTTCATGTGAGGGTTTCTTCTGAGGTCACAAAGGTTGAAAACGAGGGCACAAGAATTAGTGCTTTGGTGTTCCTTTTCAATAACTTTCCTACTAGGGGAAAAGTAGAACATCTTTTCACCTTTGTAAATTTTCAAAGATGTTTGAGAGATATGGTTGGATTGTCAAATGTCAGAAGTAGTAGTCTTCACGCCTCCTAAATATTTCATACATTTACAGTAGATGTAATAGTCTGAAATGACCGGTCAGTACAACAGTCTCTAATGCAGTCTCCCTCCCCCATTTCCCCCCCCTTTGGCAGGACGTTGTGAGGAAAATCGAGTCCACTAAGACAGACGGCCGGGACAAGCCGCTTAAAGATGTGATCATTCACGACTGTGGCAAAATAGATGTGGAAAAACCATTTGCTGTTGCAAAGGAGTAACCAAAAATAGGGGTTGGGGTTTTTTAAAAGGAATTCCTGTGTGAGCTGTCACCGCCAGCCCTATCCTGTGTGCAAGCTCCGCTGCCCAGCACAGCTGAGAAGGACGTCATCTTTCGCTGTACTACTGCACTGCAGCACTGCCTGACCAACGACATCCTGGATCGCTTCCCGAGGCATTCCTTCTGGGGCTTTCCCCAGCGGTCACTACTTTTTTTGTAAAAAACAAACCGTAAAATAAAGGATCAAAATTTTGTTAAATTACTTCTGAGTTTTTTTTTTTGTAATTGGTTGCAAGGTTTTCTCTGCTTTTGCCTCTCATTCACATACACAAGATCACCCAGTATAAACTTTCACCTCCAAACAGGGTGCCTGGTATGATAAACAGGCCCTCATCCACTCTTTTATTGTGAATAGCTAATCAAATTTGACTTGTGCAAAAATAAATGAAAATATTAAGTATTGCATAATTGTACATGCTATGATTTTAATGCCTTTGAGACTAACGTGGTACATTTTACAGACTGATAAATTAGCCCGATTTTAAAATGGTAAAATCACTAATGCATCAGTGGTTTGAAGATAAATCTCTCATACCATCCCTTGCTAGGGGAGCTGTTCCACACTTTGAAATGAAATTAGTCTGCAACATTGAATTATAGATTAAACACTCGAGGGCTGAGGAAATGACTCATGGCAAAAATGGAGATGGCCCAATTCTTAAGAGTCTACATGTAAATCTGAAACATTGTACCCAGGTTCTACAACAGACTCAGCCTCACAAAGCAGCTTTTAAATTCTCCATAATTAACATTCCCATGTTTTTTAATTAAAGCTTGTACCAATGATAAATGCAAAAAGAAGAGATTAATCATAATGGCAAAGAACACTGATGCAGAAGGATTTTATATAAAATTATTCAAAAATATATTCAGCCTTTAACACTTTGGATTTGATAAGTACTGAACAATATTGTATCTAGAATGTAAATGATCAATTTCTCCAATACACCTTTTCCTCATGTGCTTCAAAGACTCCCCCACAGATCTGCTCATATAACTAATCAATTTTATGCTATCAGATAAAATCTATGGTCCTGTATCCCTTTTAAAAACACTAGTCCATGTTCAACAGTTACATGATTTAGCCACTTGAGACCTCTTTGTCTGCAAACTCTGGCGTGTTAGTCACATCCTGAGCGAAGGTCAGTTTGTGGTGCCGTGTGGCAGTGGTAGTGCTGGCTGAGCCCTAGCTCTCCAGCAATGCCCTTGTCCTCGTCTTAGCTCAGGGGCTAACTCTCTGGGGCCTTGAGCCCTGGGGTCGAGATGCTTTTGCCTGGGCTGCTTGGCTTGGTGCACAGCGTGAAGCTGACTTTGACATCCCTTGGATACAGGCCCTGGAGAACCCCATCCACGATGATGTTGGGGAGGAAATCTGCAACAGAAGGACCACAGGTCAACAATCCGGAGCGTGGCTGTGTGCAAGAGCCTGCCTTCTTTTCAACACACAAGCCTTGCCTTACCGCCTACGTCCTCAGGGAGTCAATTAAAAATTAAAGCTGCTGAGAAGATTTTGCACAGGTACTGCATGCACGTCCTTTGTTTTGTGATACCTATGGCACCGTGAATGAAAGTGGTTATCATTAAAGAGAGAGGAAACCATTCTGGGATAGCAGTGCTTAGGACTGGAGACCACAGGTTCCCAAAACTGGTCCTGGAGGAATACTATCTCTGCTGGTTTTCATTCCAGCTGAACTCTCCACTACTCTGTGATAACTTAATTGACGTGCTTGCTCATTTACGGACACAGGTGGGATTGACAGTGTGGATCAGAGATTCCCTCAGTGAGTGATCTTCCTGCGGCAGAGGTACTAAGTGCTGCATTACAGGCAACAGGCCTGAATGAGGGCTCTAATGAAACTCGGAGAACTGAAATCAATGAGCCTGTGATTATGAACTTGGCTAGAGCAAAAAACAGAAGAGACAGTGTTCCTGCAAGACAAGAGATTCGAACCACTGCGGCAGACTCCTGGTTGAAGGTTCAGATCCTGTTGGAGACACTGCTATAACCTTGAGAAAGGTACTTTTCCCAGCTGTATCATGTGGTACTTAAATGTATGGTAAAATAGGAATTGTTAACTTTTCTAGTTTGCTTTGAATAAAATAACTAGTCCAATAAATTGATGACTGTGTTGTTGGTTTTTCTCTGTTTAAGCTATAGCAAGAGGTATTTCATTTAATCATAAGTTGTTGCAGTGGTTAAATCTAACAATCTGGACAGGTGATCCTTAGGGAACACACTGTACCTGTGCTGGAGGCCAGGATGTAGGGATCTTTGGAGAATCCGACCACACGCTGATGGAGGAGTCTACAGCTGGAAAACAAGAAAAGCCTGCTGTTCAGAAGCACAGAAATAATTCACACACAGTGTATATGGAATGTTACAGACGTTCTGGCAAGTGTATATTAACAGTGACGCCACACTCAATGCCACAGTTGTGCACATTAATCAGGAATATTTTTTATAACTACATGATCTTTTTTAATTGTCTAGTGTTGGTTTCAGATCTGATCGTGTTCCACTGAATTTCTGGTAAAAGGAACAAATGTTTCATGGATCTACATGTGATCTTTTCCCATATGCATTCCTTCCTCTTGAACATTGTGTCTACATTCAGATGTTTAGATGTAATTAATTATTTGTACATGAAAAGAAAATCTAAATCCTAAACAAGTTGAAAAAGGCAATATTTTTGCACAGATCAAGATAGGAAAGGATTTGTCCGAAATTAATAATTGGGCAGGAAGGAGTATTTTAACACTTTTGTGTCTGGTAAGAGGCGATGCAAACCTGTAATCATCTGTCGGTAGGTCACTGAGTGATCTGCAAGTTAAATAAACACAGGTTAGAGGATCATTGACTTCAGGTAATCATATACCCAAGGTTCTCATTCTATTAACATGATTTCAAGTGTTTAGGTTATTTACTAATCATCTGTATTTCTGTGTCTTGGAAAGTATGCTCAGCTCTCTAATAAAAGTGTCCCATATGGGGTGAAACAATTCCCTCAGCCTGGGGCACAGGAATGGTTAGCACGTACTCAAGGCTGTAAGTCTTGTTCACTGAAGGGAAATGTCTGACCCGCAGAAAATCCAGCATCTCCTGTGGCACCTCTTCATTACTCTGCAGTACACCCTAAAGAGAAAGAGGGAAGACTGATGCATTATACCAAATCCTCAGTGCCTCAGAATGGGGAGCTAAAATCACCTGAAAACATTATTCTGTCATGACTGGTTGGCAGTGCATTATACCCTCTTTTATTGGTCTCATGAAGATACGACCATTAAGAAAATGAGGGAATTCATAACTGAGTTTGCATGGAGACTTATATTAATTTCCAATAGGTTACTGGTGATTATTCTTAAAAACAGCTGATGTCACCTTAAATTTCTGAGTATTTCTGCACGTATAAGCTTTACATGTTTCTCAAAGAATACAGTTTTTTGTGTTCCATCCCTCCATTTTAGGCGAGCATGAGTATTGGGATAAATTAATTTAAACTTAAACATGAGAAAATTGAATTAGTATTAAAACTACTTGGTCGCAAATCCTGTGTGAGTAACAACTGCGTCTAGCCTGTGACCCACTATCATCACCAGCTCTTGTTTGTTTTGGGGGTGCTTATGACTTCTGACTCCTTTTCAGCAGGTGAAATGCATGCCCAGTCAGTTTTAAATCAGGAGATTAACTTGTCCAGTCTAAGACTTTCCACTTTTTTCCCCTGATGAATTCCATGGTTGCGCTGGCAGTGTGTTGTGGCTCATTGTCTTGCTGTATGCTGAAACACCAGCCAATGGGTTTGGAGGCACTGTCTTGTACATAGGCAGGCAAGATGTTTCTGTACACTTCTGAACTCATTCTGCTGCTACAATCATCAATAAAGACGAGTGAAAAAATCCTGTTTGTTCCCCAAGTATTTTACAATTATATAACTTTTTAACAAAACTATACACATTCAAAAGAAGGAAGATGTATACATTTATGAATATGAAAAGGGAGGAGACTATATAAATGTACCTTATTAAATTTCAATTATTTTGTATCTCAACAAAATCCGACCTTAAAGGTTATAATTCTGCTCTTGGAGTCGTCTGCGAACGGTAGATTGTGATACCTTCAGTCTTGCACTGCGGAGGTTGGTGATTCCAGCAACAGTTGTTTTAGAGTTTTTGTTCACAGCTCCGATAATTTTTCTATGATCAACTGCAGTTGTTTTCCTTGGCCAACCTGGCCATTGCTGATTGCTTAGTACACCAGTTATTTCTTTCTTTTTCAAGATATTCCATATGATTGATTTTGCTTTGCCCAGTTTCTGTGCTATGGGTCTGATTGAATTCTTCTTTTCTGTCAGCATTCTGTCATTTGCTTTTCTTTCCTACACAGTAATAATAATAATAATTGCTTACACTTATATAGCGCTTTTCTGGAGACTCCACTCAAAGCGCTTTACAGGTAATGGGGACTCCCCTCCACCACCCCCAATCTGCAGCATCCACCTGGATACTAGTACTAGTACTCTAGTCTCCATGTTGGTTTAGGACTATTGACTCTAAAGGCAGACACCAAAGGGATAAGCAAAGGCTAAATCCAAAACTACATATTCGCAGCTATTCTATGTGTGCACCATCGATGCAACAAGAAACAGCTGGCCAATAAGAAACACCTGGCAGCTGACTGTCCCAACCTAAAATGGGGGGATTGAACACAAAAGTGCTATTATTGTAAAACAACTTATAACCCGAAATAAAAGGTGAGATACTGTACTTTTGCCTCATATTCATCTTTTCAACTCAAATTCAAATAGCTTGAGTTTACAGAAAAGGTAGCAATTATGACTTGCATATGGAGGGCACTGTAACTAAAGGAAAAGAAACAGCCCCATTTTCTCTGGCCTGTGACTCAAACGCTGTGGTTAAGTTCAGAAAAAGCAAACATGCAACTCAGGGTAGATTCTACGAGATTCTACGAGCTTTGGTAAAACTTTGTAAAAAAAGTGCCTTAACAAAAATTCAATTTACACGCTGGAAAAAGATTAGAAAAGAAGCCCTCTCTCTAGTTTCTCAGCAACTGTGACCTGTAAAGGTATTTGTGCTCTAAAGAGGAACAAGCGATTGGCCTTTGCTCCTCAGCTGCTTACCTGGATGTATTCCTCCAGCTCCTGCCTCCTCTGCTCTAGGGGCTTCTGCCTCCAGTTCGAGCCTCGTTTCCCAGGGAAATCCGGGGTGTGCAGGATCTTCTTCAACTGCGAAGGGAGACGGAAGTGAGAGTGACTGAACTGCAGGGCTTGGGCCTCGATCCGTCTCCAGGCCCCAGCCATGGCCTGCTTCGTGGAGGCAGGCTGGCAGAAAAGAGGCGGTGTGTTCTTTGCAAATGGAGACAATGCAAACCACTATTGTGTAACAGGTTGCGAGCAGCATGAGTCAATCACACAGACAGTTGACTGCTGCCTGTGATCGCTTTCAAGCGAGTGTGTGCAGCTCTGTATCTCACTTCCCACTTCTGTGCAGCACAACGTCCTTGCGATTTCTGAAAGCGCCTCAGAACGATGACAAGACAGACATTTTGTCTTACTCCCAGATGGAGAAAGTGTGTTTTAGGAAGCAGCATGGAGCAGTAATTAGCATTTTGAACTCTATAGCCGAGGGTCATAGATTCAAGTGCATTTTTAACTTGCTTCCCATCTAAACTGATTTCATAGTTGTATCCACCTTTCATATAACCGTTAGAACAGATAATCTGTTAGAGCAGATTTGTTTTTTAAATGTATGATAAAACAACAATATTCCGAGCTCTTTTCAAACTCTGTTTCTTCCTGGTACTGTATTTCAAAATATTTTTGAGTCATATTATGTATGTTTTAATCTACACAAAAAATAGCGAGTATATGAAACATGTCAAATCACAATCCAGCCATATGAAGAAATGATGCAAAATGAAGGATTCAGGTTAATAAGGAATCAACTGTCCTGTCAGGCAGCGCCTGAAACAATATCATTAAGTCACATGGGTACCTTTTTATGCAGAGCGTGGAATTCATTGTGTCTCTTCAATATAAAGTGTTTCCTTCCATTATACAGAACCTCTACTCTGAAGACCTGCAGGAGGAAAAAAAAGGAACAAGTCAAAATCACTAAATCAGTCTGAAGGATACTACAGTTTTAAAGTACCCCACTATAGAAGCCCTTTCCTTTTCTTAAATTCAGGTAATATGCAATGCAAGCACCAATAAGAGCAGCCATCAAAACTGAGGAAAAGATGGTTTGGCTCAGTCCTCTGTCCACATCTGAGAAATCTCTATTTAGTCAGGGATTGAAGTGAACGAAAGAATAACAATAATATTCCCTTGTCCAATCTATAACACATTGAACTGAGCTTCTATAACATATTTATCATTTGTCTCCCTCTAGTGCCCATTTTAAACACTACACGATATAGTCTGAAACATTACACTCTTACAACAGCAGGGCTTGTTCCACAGTCACAAACACTACACTGCACTTTTTGTGTTATCGGCCACAGAGGAACACAGCTAATCCAATCAATCCAGCGGCAGCGTCACAAAGAATTCGACATTCTTTACGACTCACTCAATTGTGCTAAACCACAGAGGACCCAAAGTTTCAAAAAACTAAACTTCCCAAGGCCTGCTTTACATTAGTAACAATTCCTTACAGTTCTATTAATTTTCAAACCCAAGGACCATTAATCATGGAAAACTACTTGCCAAAGAACTCTTTCCACAAAAACTTCAGCTATGTTTTTGAAACATAGTCCCAAAGTACTTCTCAAAGTACATGTTTGAATATTACCACTTCATTTGCTGTACCAGTCATGTTTACAAGTTTTCCACTGCTATTCAATACATTTCTACAAGCCTGCTGCGGTGCCCATAGCTGTAGTGCTGTTCTTGAAGACTCCTTTCCTTTACAGTCAGTAGCCTACCATCCACATAATGTTGTGATTATAATGTCCCTAAATAAATAAGTAGCAATGTTACAATTTCTGCTCATTACAAACGACAAAACATTCTTGTTTGTGGTAAGCATTTCGGTGCTAGTCTCACGATTTTTATGAAAGGATCCAATTTACAAAGAGCCCATTGAATGGCTCAGGGCTGCCAGATCAAAGAACCCCCCCAGCACACTGAACTGGGGCAGCACGAAGCGCTCTGAGCACAGCTGCAGTCTCACACACACACACACACACACACACACACACACACACACACACACACACACACACACACACACACTGTGTGTCCTGTCCCACTGACACAACTGCCCCGGGGAACAACACAGAATTGAGCAACATACCAGAGCTGTAGGAAGTGAACAGGCAGGGGCACCCCAGCAATCTAAGCCCGAAAAAAATTATTTTTTAAGTGGCCTTTTCTTGGCTAATATATACACTGCCAGCTTGTACACAAGGTAGCAAAGTGATGGGATCTAAAGACAGCACAGAGAATTCAATTGTCCATTAAACCATGAGCTCAGTTTTTCTTCGTAGTTGGCATGAATACTGTTACAATGTGCAGTGAACGCTCTGTCTATTTAAGTGAACATTCTTAGGAACGCTTGTCCCTGAAGTGTGAGCAGCCCGTAACTTCTGTATAATCAGAGATTGCGAACTGTGCTCAGGTCACAGAATGGCAGTCTGAAGCCTTCTCAGGACCACAGCAGAGCGGCCTGCAGCCAGCCAGAGGGCAGGAGTTCACTGAGAGCTCCCCTCTTCTATCCTGTCTGTGAAACCCAACGTACTGGGCCTCGGAGAGAACAGTGAAAAGAGCACCAGGGACGTGCTGGCTCAGCCTGAGGCCCAGAAGGCCGTGCAGTTCACTGGCAAGCATCAAGACTTCTATCAAAACACAGCGTGGCCCCAGGGAGCCTGGAGAGACTGTTTCAACAGGCTCTGCTGGGAAACTGCCCCAGGAGTGCCCACAGCAGCCAGAGGTGTTTTCAGTCTTCTGAAGAGGAAAAGCACATGGAAAAACCCATGTGTTCACAAGAGGAGCCATCACAAATAAACTTTCAAACTTTGCATATTTTTTATTTATTGGTCCAACTACTCTCTGGCACACAATCTATCCCCATATTCAGACATATTCACCTTTTTGGCACATTCTGAATTCTGACACTGAAACAGAATGTGCTCCACAAACACAGACCTGGAACTGTTTTGTGCTGTTGTTGATTTCATGACTAACACGGGTATTATGTGTGAAACATTTTTCTATTTTAATCTAAATTAGAAAAAAATAGATTTTGTATAGTGGTGACAGTGTAAGTTTTGTGTTTTTTTAGGAATATAATGTAATCTGGGAAGGGCTGGACTGTGAGCCCGGGTGAGGCGCTCAGTTTAGTCAAGCTGCATTAAAACCCTGAGTGTAACTTGAGATGCAGAAGCAAAAGTTTCCACTGTTTCACTGCCTACACCAACAATAACACTGGAGGGGAAGGTGTAGACGATGTCTGAAAAAGTACAGGAAGAGGCCTTTTAAAAAAGCACACTCATTGCAGGCATGCAGTTCCAGCAAGCTTCCTCCTCTGTGTGAGAAACTCTGCCTTTCTCTCCACCATCAAACTCTTAAATCCACATCATAAAGTATAAAGTATAAAGTATTCTTTATGATAGGTGCTCGCCCAGTTAATGACAGCACAAAACCTTCCAGCCTGCACACAAGTAAACACAGACAGTCTTATTCACAAAGTGACAGCTACAGGACTTACAGAATAATAATAATTGCTTATACTTATATAGTGCTTTTCTGGACTTTCCACTCAAGGTGCTTTACAGGTAATGGGGATCCCCTCCACCACCAGTGTGCAGACCCACCTGGATGATGTGACAGCAGCCATAGTGCGCCACAGCGCTCACCACACACCAGCTCTCAGTGGGGAGGAGAACAGAGGGATGAAGCCAGGTCAGAGATGGGGATTATTAGGAGGCCATGACTAGTAAAGGCCAAAGGGAAATTTGGCCAGGACGCCGGGGTTACACCCCTACTCTTTTCGAGAAAATGCCCTCGGATTTTTAATGACCACAGAGAGTCGGTGGCCGCTTTTACATCTCATCCGAAGGACAGCGCCTGTTTACAGCATAGTGTCCCCGTCACAATCCTGGGGCATTAGGACCCACACGGACCGCAGGGTGAGTGTCGGGTACTGGCCAGGCTCACAGCTGCTGAGCTTCAGTGGGCTGCCAGTTGTGAGTAGCTGGGTGATATGGCTGCTGGCCATAAATAATAGCCGTTATTATTTAGATAGTGGTTATTATTTAATAAAATAATAGTAGTCCAATGGTTAACTACATCACTATGATGAAAACTTCCTGGTCCAATTTGGTCCAGTCCTGGGGGAGCAAAGTCTTACCTGGCAATTTCAATCAAACTTTGCCTCTGAGTCATGAACCTTAAATCAGGGGCCATTAATAATGCAATTAAAAAGATTGGAGTAAAAAAAAATTGGCAAAGACATTTAAGCCTAAAAATCAAGTGTCCAAATTTCAGCCTGAACCAATTCCACATGAGAATACAGACAGGAACCTGCAACTCTTACTAACAACTGCAGCACAAGTTTCCCTTGGTGTTTGCAGTCCCAGTAAAGGAGCTTCAAAGCACAAAAATCCTGTCATCTGGTTCCAGACCTGGATAGTCATTTTCAAACAAAACAGCAGTTACGGTACCTGCTTTTTCTGAGTCAAAGGGTTCTTTAAATTAACCAAAGCATTAAGTGACATTTGTCTGGATACATGTTTCTGCATTTGGACCAATTATACCAACTGTTTTGTAACAAGTCACTACATTATGTAACCTCACTTCCTCTCTGCAGAATAATGTTTTTAATTCATATTAACACAAATGTGAAGTAAAGAATTGAAAACTGTTTGTGCATTCTGGACATAATACTCAGTCCAAGATGGAAGACTAAGTTCTGCCCTTTTAAGATATAATACAACCATCCTTAATTCTCGCTAGACAGTACAGGCTTCCAGTACTACTGGAATTACTACTTCAGACAAATTCCAGGAATGCAAGGGCTGAAAAAGTGATATTCATGTGTGGTTATGATTTTTTCTAACTACTGTATTGTCTGACAGGTGGTTTCAAATTTCAGTACAATTTCGATTCCTCAGTAAAAGAAAAACACATTACATGCAGGCATACCATAATCCAATTTTATCCTACAACGTGTATAGGTAATACAAGTTTCCTGGTATCAGAAAACTGCTGCCAGAGTAAATAATTTGAATTTAAATGAATTTAAAAATTAGTACTTGAAATACTGAAACTTAGAAATTGAGTCTTTATTGCAAAGCTAAGAAATATTTACCACAGTTTTAATATGCCTTATTATTTATGTTTAATTAGTTACTACCATGCCTTAATTTTAACTTGAAGCTTAATACATATATGCTTAAAATAGTGACAGTCACTAAACTACTCAGATATTAACAACGTGCTGTCTCGACAAAGGGATCAATGGTCAAACAGAAAGTGAAGCAGCCAGTGGCAAGTGTCGAAACAGAAGAACAATAACATCAAAGACTCTTAAACTAAACTACACGTGATTCAGGGATAATTGTGGTTACAGCCTCTGTTACACGGGCTCGTGGAAAGTGCCTGTACATGCAAAAATACTAACTTCCTAAATGTGAAATATCTAGACAGCTAAGAGCTTAACCTGCATCAAGGCAAAAAAGAATCACATCATAAAACTGTTAAATGCCATGATACTGTAGTACCTTCACTGATAGCGTATGTGCCCTTAACTTAAGAGAAACCATATTGATTCCCGGGTTAGCATTTAACTATCACCTGGTAACAACTACATTTATATAGAAGAGGGAATTGCTGTACAATTGCTGAGTTTTGAATCAGTCTCTGTGTCTGGTCTTTAGATGAAGATGATTTCATTTGTGCCCTTCAGAATTTCAGAACTTTGATCTGGCCTTAAACTGTTCAGCTTTGAAGTGTTACACTCCATCCAAAAAGATTTCTCTTCTATGAATATAAAGTAATAGGGCATCACAAACCATATTAAGGATTGTTTTACTAAGTAACCAAGAGTGGTCTTGGTAAAAAAATAGGAGCGCATCA